ACTGAGTCTCCCTGGTTTGGATGCCGCGGCTAATCACCCAGATTAATTTGTTCTGTCAATAAGATCCGCGGGGTGAATGAATCACCACGCTTTTGTGTGCTGTGTTTGTTCTAACGGTTGCAAAGGTGGAGATAGGATTTGTGCGGGAGAGGGAGAAAGAAGACTCGGACATACTGGTTTCAGGAGAGCCCCCTAGAAATTCCAGCGTCAAATCAGGGCAAAGCTGTTGAGTCTGTTTCTGTTGGTGTTCGCACAAGTGGAGTTGACGCAGAGTCGAACAGGGGTAGATAGTGCCGGGCTGTTCCGGGGACACCGTCAGGTGGGATCTCCTCCCACTCGGCTGCTTCGCCCACAGCACTTGTTAGAAAGCCCGATTTCTAAACGGGAAGGAGAAAGACTTCGCGCCCCCTCTAGCGTCCACTCCGCGCCTCTGAGCTGCCTTCGCGCGAGGCTTCCGTGGGCTGTTGCGCAATCCAACTGTGGGCAGCCCCCAAGACTCCAAAAACAACAGGCTTTGAAAAGAAAGCCGCTTCCTCTTTGCGATTGCGCCAGACCTTGCTTCTTCCCCGCCCTGTCGCCAGACCACTGCGGTTTCTTCCCTTCCCTGTTGCAGCTTCATGCAACGGACTTTGCTAACTAACGTGCCTTCTACTCTCTTGGGAAAGTATTTCCCCTTTTCTCCTGCTCCTCCGTGCATGCTCCCCCCCCCCGTGGGCTTAATAGCGTGAGGCCTAATAGCGTGAGGAAGGCAGAGGTTAAAGGTTCTCTCTTTTTGTCCCCCTTTAACGTTTGGTTTAGTTAGGCCTCTGCCCTGCTTTCCTTTCCCAGATGGTAGGAGGGCATAAAGACACTGGGCTATTTCCACCATGTAAGTGGCAGTCCTCTGTGCCAAGAACTATGAAAACTACCAGCATAACAACCATGACCCCAACAGATTCTTCCCAAGTCCAAAGCTATAATCAGACTGTTTGAAGTTAAGGGGGGACTGTAATGAGTTAAAAGATTTCCAGAGGCAGCAAACATTCTGGTGCATGCATCTTGAAAAGACTGATTACTCTGAAGGTACTGAGTAAGGAAAATGTTATGTTTAACAAGGGTATTAAAGCAATCCTTTTACAAAGGTAAAATCCCCATGGATGTCCATTTTGCTTCCACTTAAGCAGTATACTGAGCTTTGCCTCAAATAAGATTTGTATATACAAATCATTGACTGCTCCTTCTTTACAGACTTTTCTGGCAAATGAAAAAGGTGGAGGATGCCTGAACCAGTAGTTTGTCCTGTGTGTGTTGGGCAGATGTATGCATTGCATAGAGGGTGGGTGTAACTGGCAAAGTAGCTGATTGGTTGGGATGTGTGCTGGCCATGACCTTTCCCTGCTGCTAAACTCTGCAAAAAAGTGGTCGTGTCAGCAGGTTAGTCACAGATTTGACTCCATTAATTCATGAAATAAATGCAGAGTTTACTGTAAACCAACTTTAAGGATCAAGTTAGAGGTTAGAGGTTGCATATCCTGTGACAGGAGAGCAGGTAATGGGGGTTACAACAGATGTGGCAGATTTTAACACAAAAGCAAATGAGAGGGGAAGCAGTAGACTACAAACCCTTCCTTTTCATTAGAGGAAGTAAGTACTAACTAGCACTCTCTTGGTATTTGCTTTTAGTTACAGCCAGCCAGTTTATTTTAGGTATAAAACATCCTCAAATATGCATCACACTTTTAAAAATGAGAAATTGTGTGTAGCTACATATTATAACTAACAAAGATTTGTTTGTGACCATATGAAGACAAGTCGGCCTTCATTTGATCAGCCCTACAGACACTACGCATAGAAGAGATAAAAGCAAGATCCTGTTTTCTCTTGGTCCCTTTTTTCTGTTGAAGATAGGAAGCACCAGCTGAGGCAATATTTGAAAAGATGGCCCATTTGGGATGTACTCTGATTGTGCTTCCAAGAGGGACAGATCTGGATATTATGGGGGTGGGGTATATGCAGTGGAGAGTTGTAAGAGAACAGTATTTAAATTCGCAACCATCATGAGGAACTATTTTAGGTGTCTGGCTTATGAGGTCAGCCACTATTCAACCACAACTACTGGCATAGCCTTACTGCTATGTGACAGCAGGGCATGGAAGTCAGCGAGTGGCAGTACTTTCCAGTGGGCTTTTTTTCACAAGACTGGACAAGTAAGTGTGCACACATTCCATCAGTGTTTTTTTTTTTAATTAAGAGAGCAGTAGTTTTAACAACTACACTCTGTGAGAATCTCTAAAATACGTTTTGAAGAATGGCACCATGGAATCACATATTGAATGAGATGCCCTGATGCTGAGCAACAGTGAGATTCCATGCAGAAATAGGGATCTTGGGGCTCATGACCTCCGTAGGAACCTGAAGTGATACTATCTAGCAGATCCGGTCCGTTGAGAGACCCACATCCCACGTCAACCTGCAACCTGGCAGGCTCCCCTTGGAAACTTCGTGTCATTGCGTCTGAGCTCACCAGACAGAAGTCCTACCATCCAAAGTTATTCCAGTATAAACCCATTGGTTTCAATGGGTCATCCTGTAAAAGACCGCACTGCAGCCTAATGTTTCTGCTTCTCCCTTCGCAGCTAGAAAGTGCTTCATACCTCCTCCCCTTGTTAACTAAGGGAGTTCAGTCAGGGCTCAGCCGCACCGGGCTCCTGCGCGCGCTCTCTCTCTCCCTCCCTCCCCTCCAGCCCCAGCCATGTTAGCAATGGAGGGCTGGAAGTCCGAGGCAGGCCGCCAAAGGATGGGCAAGGCGGGCTGCCAGGGGGAGCCCAGGGCCAGCGGCTGCCATTTCTGGCACGGGCGGGACTGCGTCGTTATCTGGCTATCTAGCCCATAAAACGCTCCAGTGGCCCGGTCTGCCCGAGCCAACTCTCTTTCCCAGCACGGCTGAAAGTTTCCGAGAGCGCCTGCCGGGGGGGCGCCACACTGGGTCGCGCTCTGGCGAGAGATGAGGCGCAGGTCGGAGCAGCCACCCAGCGAGACCCCGCCAAGCGTCCCTGAGGCGGGAGCCGCGGGGGGAGGGGAGGCTGGCGAAGGTAAAGGGACCCTCCGCTTCCTGTCAGAAAAGGCGGGCGGGAGAAGTCAGCCGCCGCACCTGCAGCTCTCCCCGAGGCTTTTGTCTTTTGAACAGCCGCAGAAGAGGCCCCAAACTCCGCAGGTGACTCTCGGCTCCGCTCCCTGCGAAGTTATAAGGAAGCAGCACATTTCCACCAACAGCATGTCTTCCTAGTTCAAGAAGTACCCCTGAAATATCCAGCAATCTACGGCCTCCCAGATGGTAGCAGGTCTTACTAAAGAAGCCAGTACAGTCTTTCTCTTGAGGGCCTGCTGGCAAGCAGAGGCCGGAGAGCACGCGCTCACATTGCGAGAGACTCTCGCCGCCCCCTCTTGCGGCCGCAGCCATCGCTACCACCGCCATGTGGGCCCCTCCTCCCGCCTCCTTGGGAGAGCGCGCGCGCGCCGCCCTGACCATCGCGGCGTCCCATTGACACGCGGGCGCCTCTTTGGGCTTCCTACAGTAGCTTCGGCGGCAGCGCGCGGGCCAATTCCAGGAGCCCGTGGGTTGGAGCCGCGCCCTGCTTTCAGACCGGAAAGGGCTCTGATTGGCCGGCGTCCTCCCCTATGCAAAAGAGCTGAGGGAATGACATTCCTCCGGACTCTCTTACTGTAAAAGCAAATTCATTTCCAGTCAATCTCCATTCATAGAGCCAGAGAAGGCGCGCGTGAGAGGGAGGCGGGGGACCGGGCTTCTCCAGAGCAGCATGAGCAAACAAACAGCGCCTCACAGAAGGTCACTCACAGCTGGAGAGACTGGCCTTTATGGGCAGCAGCCATCGGGGAAGCTTGCTGTTGGCGTCTGGTGAACACGTGAAGGCACCTTCCGCTTTGGAAATAGGAGAAGGGGGCTCTTGCCTGAGCGCTTCGCACCTGCTTGCTCTCACCCCCGACGGGACTTTTTTTGGAGGGGGGGTCCTTCTGTTGCCACGCGGGCTTCCGATCCTCTTCCTCTGGCAGAAGATGCAGTTCGGCAGGGCAGGCGCTTACGAGCTAGTAGCAATCGCCTTGTGAAGTTCTGAAGCAGGGACGAGCAAGAAGCGGGCGGGTGGGGGGGAGAAGGCGGGGGGGGGAGGAAAACGATGGTCCTGAAAGCAGAGCTCCACCTGCTGTGGTTAAACCAGAGCTGAGCCGCCGGGCCCCTGTGGCTGAATTTGAGGAAGATCGCTTCTGATATTCCCCCTCCCCCAAGTTGGCAGTGAGTCACTCCGCGGCCACAGACTGTTGGGTGACTTCAGAACTGTGTGTTAAAGTTGCTGCACACATTAACCACAGAGGGAACCCACAATCCAACCAGCAGCTCCAACCCAAAGGCGGTTCTTAGATGGACTCTCTCTCTTTCTCTTTCTCTCTGAGTTATTGGCGCAGCAGCGCCTTAGACTTGCGAGAGTCCAAATTTACACGGGCCGTCATTTGGCCGCCTCGCCGCAAAACCAAGACTGCAAAATCCCCTTTCAAGGCACGCGAGTCAAGCTACTGAGTCTGGGTTTCAAGGCTGCTTTGGGAGGGGAAGGAATCCCGCGGAGGAACATTAATGGATTTCTGTTGTGTTTAAACTCTCTATAGAGTCTACTGTAAATATTTGATGAACGGCGATATATAACGTTGTGATAGCCAGTTGACCTTTGAAAACCTCAGGTCACGCTCTTTGAAGCCTGCTTCGTCCGTTTGCTTTAAAGTGACTGCTTTTTCCACTGCAGAAAGAGACTGAAATGTATTGAGCCCGGATGCTCAAGAGGCTTGAGGCAAGGGATGGGGACTGGCTCTTTGAAACGATAGGAAATTAACTACTGAAAAGTCTAGATTCTCCCCCCCCGCCCGCGCCGCCGCCCCCCCTCCATGCGCGCGTGTGGTTTTGAACGGATGTCTTACATTTCCTTTGCTCAAAACTTTTCTCCGTGTGTGGGATTTCGGAAGGGCCTTTGGTTTTAATAACACTGGTAATGCCCAAGGGAAGAACTTTTCCAGATCTATAGGCTTTCAGTGTTGTTTTCCAAGAGAGAGACACACGCTTCCAGCACAGCCTGAAACTGGATGCTTGGATTAACTGTGGCAGGACCAGGAAGCGGAGGTTTCCCCCGCTCTGTCTTGTGGTCGGTCCGCACTCCCTTCGGGATCGGCTCCACTTCGCCTGCCCCTCCAGCGCCGGGGTCCAAAGCAGCTTCCTTTTTATGTTGGTCTCCCGAGAGCCGCCGGCTGAAGAGTTTGTCCGAAGCCCTCTGCGGAGCTTTTTCACTCAAAAGGCTTGTTGTGATGCGTATCCCCGTAGATACCAGCACCAGCCGCCGCTTCACGCCGCCCTCCACCACTCTGAGTCCGGGCAAGATGAGCGACCCGCTGCCGCTGATCGGCCAGGAGAACAGCAGCGGCGCCCTGGTGGGGAAGCTGAGGAGCGCAGATCGCAGCATGGTGGAGGTCCTCGCCGATCACGCCGGAGAGCTGGTCCGCACCGACAGCCCCAACTTCCTCTGCTCGGTCCTGCCGACCCACTGGAGGTGCAACAAGACTTTGCCCATCGCCTTCAAGGTAAGGGGAGGGGGGGGTCTGGCGGGGGCGGGGGGGGGGGGACAGAATGAAGCGCATGGGGGCGACAGCCTGTTCCGGGGCGCCGAGCATTTGGGCGTTCTTTGCCGGGCACTGCTGTCCTCCTCGTGCCTACAGAGTTTCAAATCCCCACCCTGTTCTGCACAGCATGAAAATGCTTCGGCTTTACGATTAGCTCCCACCTCCCGTAAGCGATCGCGTTGTGCTAGGCAGAGTCACGCTCTCCCAAGTCAGTGTGCCTCACCTGGCAGGGCATCCCGTCCCGCCAGCGCTCCGATCAGGGGGGAATCTCGCCCTTGATTTCAAAAACCATGCCGAGGACATCCTTAAGGGGTGGGGGGTGGGGAGAGAAGTTTCCTTGTAAGGACGAAAGAGTCTTTCTGAAAAGCTGTAGCCAGATAGGACAGGAAGTTGACCTATCAACAGGAATGATTTACTCCCAAGTAGGTTTACTCCCAAGTAGCTTTAGGTCTCCACCGGTGCCATCACACTGGTGCCTTTAAAAAGAGACTTCCCTAATACAAGGGAGAACTGATTTCAATTTGGCTTGTTCCTCCCCCCCCCTTTAAATTGACTAGGACCCTCGGAGTCTGTCTATATCAACCAATTCAACGTGCTGCAAAGCAAAAGTGCTGCTCCAGAGTTTGTAAAGGCAAAAACTAATCTGTGCTAAGCGATCTCGAGCTTCTGTAGTTTTGCTTTAGGCCACTGGAAGTGCCTTGCTAGATCAGAAGGCAGCGCGTTCTTTGCAGAAATGCCAGCCGCCGACAGGCGCTAAGTGGTCTACCGGAAATTGGCTAGTGGTGGACCGCAGTCTACCTTCTGCCAGCCCGTCAAAGGGAAGGTTACTGAGGATTTACACCCCCATCCCCATACGCCCAGAGTTTACACCCCCATCCTGAGCACACTGACGCGAGGGCCTTAGCCCGGCTGCTCTACACAAGTTTATTTGAACTCTTTGGGATGTCAGCCACAGGCGCGCAGCATAAGGGATCAAAAGCAGCTCTGGGCTGCCTGGAGACCAAGGAGTGACACGTGTAAGTAAACCTTTTGGAATAGCTCGCGATTTTATTCGGTCAGGCCCCCCACCACCACACACACACACCTGACGGCGACTATAATTCCCAGTCCTCAAACCACTTCAGTAGAAATTTAGTTATCTAATCCAGTGTATCCTCAAAGGATTACATTTTAATACTTCAGTCGCACTCATTTGTGTATAGAGTATTATACCGCGGGGCTAACTTTCCACGTGTTTTTTTAAAAGGCCATTTACATGCCAGCTCTGAGCCACAGAAGCCTGGGATTACGAAAATCCAATTGTCGTCAATGGCTCTCGGATCTCGGCGCTATAAAATGGCACCGCTTCAGAAGGCGGTGGTGGGCGCCTCTTAGGACAGGGTGAAATGTCTTGAAACGCGAGCGCCACGGCCTGGCCCTGCCGTTCGGGGGTGTTTCCCGCGGGGCTTCGGGCCTTCTCACGGGCAGTGGCCGCTCCCGGGACGTTGCCTGGCTGGCAGGAGCCCAGCTTGGAGGGAGGAAGCGTTGAGGCGGCGAAGGCCTCCCTCCAGCCCTCGCGCTCCCTTCGCAGGATCGGGACTAGGCGCCTGCGAGCCTGAACAGCCCTCGCGAGAGGGGAGCCCCGTCCAGTCCCGGGGGAGTTTCCTCCCAGGATGCGAGCGCCGGCGGAGGGGGTGAAGGCTCCCCAGGGAAGCTCTCGGCAGAGGCTGGGGCCGGGTTTTCTATCCCGCTTGGACAGGAGGACTAGAAGGAGGCTGAAAGGGACGCGCTCCCCCGTCCCCAGGCGCAGAAGAAGTCCAGCGGGCGGGTCCCGCGCGGCGGATTTGGACGGGATGGGCGGGGGCAGCCGCCCCGGTCCTCCAGCGTCCAGACTCTGCCGGCGGCTTTGGCCGGGAGCACCTGCGGACGCCTCCCTGTCAGCGAAGCCGGCTGATCTCCCCCTGCGGGCGGGGATTGTCCTCCTCGCACTCCAGGCTGCGGGGCTTTGCTCCCCGCCCGCCGCCGGAGCAGCCAGAACAGAGCGTTCTTGAACAAGTTCACAGGCACCCATTTGTAACTTTCACAGTTGGGAGGGGAGAATGCCCCGAACGCAGCAGTCGGAGTGTTTTGTCGAGGCCACCCTAAGGCGCGCTTCTCAGTCCCCGGTCTGCAGTGAGGCTCGGGTCAGGCGATCCAGATCGCTTCCTCACAGAGGTTCCCGAAAGGCCCCTTTTTGAGATGGGAAACCTCCCTCGGCCCCGGGGTGTAAATAGCTTCAGAGGTAACCGCCCCTAAATAATTTGCCCCTGCGTAAAGTCGCATTGCCTTTTTACTCTGCGTCGTGTGTAAACGCCATTTAGGGCCATGCTCGTATGCTCCGCGGTGACTTCTTTCCTCGCCGAGGTGCGTAGGACTGAGCCGCCAGGTTTTAAGCACTAACCCGCAAACCAGTTAATGCCAAGCCCGCCGGCTGAAAGAGTTTACAAACTTTACATGTAGATCTCGCGGCCTGGCTAAAATCCAGGCAGCCACTTCCTGGAGAGGATTCCTCTTGGAGCCCTTGGACTACTCCAGAGTAAGTACCGTGAGCTCTGCAGAAGCTTCTCAACTGTTGCTGGGAGGGTGGGAGGTTCTGGGGCCTCATCCTTGTCCGCAGGGAAACTCACACGGGCCAAAACACTCCAGGCCCTCAAGGTCCCAAACACGCGGGCTTGGCCGCGACTGACGGAGCTGGAGCCCTCCGCCTCCTACTTCTGGGTAAATGTGCTTCGTCTGGCAACCTCCAGCCTACCCCCTCGAGGCTCGCTTGGTTTTCTTTAGCTACCGAGGCTTCCCATTCGGAAGGCAGAGCCGGGCTTCTGAGGTTTGGGGTTAGTAGCAGCCCTTTGGGGCTCCCCAGTGCTCCGCCCGAGGTTTTTTGGTTTTTTAAAGACTCTCTTCTCTGAGTGTGGGGTTGACCCCTGCCTGGAGAAAAGCGTCCTCTCCCTTTTGTAGAGGCTTAATGGGGTCTTAACTTGCCAGGTGATGTTATTTACATTGAAAAACGTCTGCTGGCGCCTCTGTCCCGTCTTCTAAAAGTCTGACCCTGGTCCCACGCACCTGGGAATAACTCGCTGGAGCCACATTTGTGGCCGGACTGCAGTGGCACCAGCTAAAAACATTTTGAATGACATTTACTGAGGTTTATAGTCAGTCCTACGCTCGCGTGGGGTCTTGGAAACACATCCCATTGAACAAGTGGACCTTCGTTTCGAGAATGCTGGAGCTGAGCAGGGTTGCGACCGTGATCCTGAATTCAGTTTCTTGGAAATCCGTGTCCACGGACGCCAAGCAGTGCCTCACTGCAGAGCGGCCTGTAAGAGGCCCTTCGATAGTGTCCTGAGCTCTTCATTTGAATCATGAAAATCCCACTTCCTGCTTTCTTGCATTAACATTCATTCCGTTGCCATTCGATCCTAGATGAGCAGTTTATCTGGGACAGGCAGCGGCGAAGAGATGCGGGGAGGAAGTCTTTACGGATAGCTATGGAATGCCACTCGGCCGTAACAATTCACTAATCACAGCCCACTGGCCTTCAATGAAGTGCGTGTCATTCGAATTTATAAGCACGCTCCTAGTCGATTCCCCTCCGTTACCAGTCTGCCCCTTATTCGGCTTTTAGGCCACTCATTTTAACCGGGTTTGCTCCCGAGCTCTTCAGTGATCCTGTTAATTAACCCGCATGGGCTGCAATCAATTTGAAGAAGGCCCGTGGCTTTAGCCACCTTGACACGTATGTGGCCGCTGTAGCCCCACCCCCTTAGTGGGAAAGCTCTTATCATGCAGTCTGGTGGTTCTTTTTCACATGTCCCGCATGCATCTCCAGCTCCGAAGCAAGAATCTCTTGGGGCTTGGCTCTGCAGGCGGATAGGAGCATGTTCAGGTCACGTCCTTCTTTGTATGTGTGAGTCTCTACACTTACTAGTTCCCAGATCCGTCTAGTAGTAGCAGTAGAGGCAGAAGACGAGTCGCGTCGACTCTTTCCTCCCTTCCTAACGGTTGTTCTCCATCCAAGCCCAGCGCAGAGAAGCAGGCATGGCTGGTTCCAAGCTAGGTCTGGCTATTTCAGAATAGTTGTCCAGAAATGCATACCGGGTTTTGTTGGCTTGTTTTAAAGAAAACCTTTATCCCTCATATGAGGGTTGCAGGAAACAACCCCACTGGGAAGAGAGCAAGGGTAGCAGCAGAAGGGAATAGGGTCTGTGTTGGTGGGAATAATTTCACTTCCGTGTTTCTCTGCCCCCCCCCTTTCCTAGTAAGGGGAGCCTTGTTTTACAGTACAAATATATAAACGTTAGTAATAATGGAATCAAGAGGTTTTGAATTACTATAACATAACAGTGGCCAGCACTTCCCCTTGCCACTCTTCCTGTAAATGTATATTTATCCCCCCCCTCAAGTGAGTCCCCCAAAAGAAAGCTTAAAGTAAAGCTTCTGCCTTTGGCACACTTACTTGGGAGTAAGTAGCATTGAACTAGGTGGGGGTACTCCCTCAGCATGCATAGGTTCCGGCTGCATGCTTAGTTTGTTTTTATTGCTCATATAAGCCCTGCTGTGTAGACATAAGCAAATATTTTCCACAATACTGGGCCAAATTTGGAACTGTTTGAATAATTACAAGGAAGAAATTGGAGTCATGTGAACCATGCAACAAATATCTGTTTCTATGGCCATTAACTCCTCAACTTTTTCTAACCTGGAAATTTTTAAAACCTCCTATAGATTAAAGTCAGAAATGCATCTGCTGAGTACTATTTTTAAATGAAACTACCATTAAAATTTCTGTATATATTATTTAATATAGCACCTCATACTTGCAATTCCAAAGCCAAATCTATCATCTGAGAACCTGGACTGAGAGGGTTTGTACACCAGTCTTAAATGCACTTACTAAGTAAATGCTATTGTTTTCTGTTGAATGTCCTTTCAAGTAAGTTTTGTATTCTAGATCTAAAAATGTTTACTCATTAGGTTCAATGTAACTTACAACTACGGCTGCACTTTTCAGGGTTTACTTTCTGAGTAGACATGCTGAGGATTGCACTCCACTTTTTTGGGGGGAGGGGGTAACTTGAATCTCTGTGCAACCATTTACCCAAAATAAAGTTTTAGTCCTATAGCAACTTTAAAACCAACAAAGTTTAATTCTGGGTATAAGCTTTCATGTGCATGTACACTTCTTCAAATACCTACCCATTTACCTAATTTGTGATTTTAATTGACTGTAATCATGTACCTGATCTATGCAGATAAGGTTGTAAATGTCACAGAAAATACTTCCATCTGACTTGGCAAAATTTCTCCAGAATCCCCTAGTTTTCTTTCAATATAAATGTATAAATGAAAAGGGGGGGGGGGAATTGTAACAATTGCTACCATTTCTCATAAATTGTCATATAATCGTATAAACTGTAGAAAAATCAGCCCTTAATAAAACAGCAATTTCTCCTTGTTTAAGCAGTAAAACTGTTAAGATTCAACTGTGGTGCAAGTTGGGATTTTTAATATTTCCTCCAGCTTGCATAAGATATTTTTATAAGCTGAATAGTCAAGCAAAATACCAGCTATCTCCAGTCAGCAAGTTCTTACTTATCTGTTTAGTCTGTTTTATAATGTAAATGTTTGTGTTTCTGTGCCTGTCTTTTACAGCTTTACATACCAGTTGTTTTTTCCAGGGCCTGGGGATCTCTGTTTCTTTTGCTAGGGTTTCCTGCACTATACTGTAAAGTGCAAACACAGAGAGTTGAAAATACACTTTTTTGTGGGATATTTTAAAGACAGAGAATGTTCCTTTTTCTCCTGCACGACATATACAGAGAAAGGGAGAGATGCATAGAACCCAATAATATTCCATTTGAATGTGTTTCTTTCTGATTTTAACACTGTAGTTCATTTGACTTGAAAAGTCAAATATTGCATTTGGAGCAATGCTGCTGAGTTGTAATGCCAAATCATGCTTCATATCCCTCAACATTTAAAATATAAAAAATAATCTGTAAATAAGACTGCAATGCTCGGGAGGAATGAGACATATTTCTCAGTAAATGTGGTTACTGTTGGGGTGTAACTGTTAAATCCTGATCATGTTTACTTGAAAGTCCCACTGTGTTCATTGAACCTTGCTTCCTAATGAGTGCGGCCTTACAGAATGGTTATAGGGCTGCAGACTTAGAACAAGCAAAACACAAGGTAAGGTCAATTCATTTCAGTAGCACTTAGCCCCAAATAAGAGTGCTCATTTCCTAAAAACACTTAGTCGAATTTAAGATGGGCCATGCCTGGTTAGTTTTTCTAGACCCTCACATTAGAAGAAGTTTCTGGTTTTTCCTTCTAATGTGAGGGTCTAGAAAAACTAACCAGGCATGACCCATTTCTGGAACCTTTAAAAGGCTAGCAACTCTGGGCATATATGCCCAGAGTAGCCCAAGGACAGCCTGAACATGTAAGATGGATACAAAGGGACAAAAGAGTCGCTTGGAGAAGGAAGAGAGGAAATAATAGTGCCCAGACATGGGAAAGAGAAGGGTGGAAGTGAAGGAGAAGGTTTGGTGTGTTTTAAAAACTCCCATTGTTAGAAAACTGAACTGGAATTTTAATAACGCTAAAGCAGTGGATAGCTCATGGTGGGAGGCTATCAGGAGCCTCATTTGGTCTCATTCCACTTCCTGCCAGTTTTCCTCTGGTCCTGCTTCCATACAAATATAACTTCAGTATTAATATAAAGTTTTTAAAAAGAGCAAGTGCATTTGAAAAAGCAGGTTGAGTCTGACATGTGGTTGACTCAGTACAGAAGAGGGCAAAAGGTAACAGTGTGGACTGTTAAGGCGGGCTGGATATACAGAAGTACATACGTGAAACAGTAATTTCAGTGCCATGAGTCTTCCATAGAAATGAAAAGCCAATGGTGCTACAGCAGCATCTTCCATGAACAAGTGGCATAAGCTAGATTGCCTGTGAGTTGTGCTCTTATTGCTTGGGAACCCTGTGTCAGCCAGCACATGGCACTTCTGATTGGCAAATTTTTTTACAGTCATTACTGTCCTTGCCCTCATATAAGAGGTCACTATTATTTGTGTTTTGTACTTGGGGGTACTGGAACTGAGAGACAGAGGGCAACTTGTTCAAGGACATGCTTCAGATAATATCCAGTGAAGGTGGACGAAATGTGTAGAAAAGAGTGTGCTTGTATTTCATGCATAATGTGGAACTGGGCATTTACTCCAGAATGGAATGTACAAACAGGTCCTACATCTGAAGGTCAGCAGTGCAGAAGTCAGTCAGTTAATGCATACATTTCATAATGGTCTAAGATGCTTGCAGAAATTCCAAGGCAGAAGTTCTGGAACTTAGATCTATACCCACCTTCCCATCTGTCGGACCCCATTGTTTTTGCATATAGAAGCTGTCATTGGCATAGTATCATGCAGTACAATGTTTTTAGATTGGTTTCTGCATCAGTGCAACTTTCCAAGACGCTTTACTGTGCAGGCAAAACAGTCTCTACATCATCTGCTAAACACTGAGTCACCACTGACCACAGCTGTAGGACTGAGCTATAAGATTTGGTTCTTAAACTTGGAAATAAGTTCTGCTGAAATCCAATTATACTTATTTCCACATAAGGTATGTTTGGAATTTAGATATACTGTGGTTAAATTCAGGAGCAATATAAGCTATTGGAAGGCAAGTGTGTTGGGTGATAGTGAGATATTGAAAAAATGGTATTTAGCAGAGATAAAATAGTCCAGCAGAGCCAGAGTAAAATAATTCAGACTGAGAGTCCATGTGTGATTAAAATATAAAGATTTTACTAAATTCTAGCATGGGAAGGGTAACTGGGATGAAAATAACAACAGAGCATAATCGGCTACATCCTTACTCTACAAAGACAAAACTAGAAGAGTGAGAGTATGGCTACTCTTCTTGTTCTTCAGAACACCAAACAAAGACAGGAAGAAAAGCCATAAAATGGTAATGTACCGTGATACTTTAGTCCAGGGGTCGTTTTGTAGAAAAAGAGCTAGGGGGACTCATTAGCATAACTCATTAGCATATGCCACACCCCCTGACATCACCGGAAGTGTGTCATAAGGCCACACCCCCTGACATCACCGGACGTGTGTCATAAGGCCACACACCCCGCCCCCAACAGTCCCGGCTGCCGCCACCGGCCTTGCAGCTCCACTGCTGAGCCCCATGAGGGGCCCGGCGGTGGACTTGCAAGGCCGGCGGGAGTGCAAGGAAGCCCCGCGAAGGCCCTTCCTGGCCCCAGGCAGGCAGGGGTGGGGAGAGGCAGGGAGGAAGCAACTTACCCTCCCTCTTCTCCTGCCTCCTCCTGGCTGAATGAGGACCGGAAGCGGGGCGGCTGGAAGCAGGGGGCGGGGCTTTGTCATGTGCCCCGCCCCCCGTACCTCACCCAGGGGAACTGCGATCCCCCGCGATCCCCCCTGAAATGACCTCTGCTTTAGTCCCAATCAAATTCCTAGATCAGGGAGAAAATTCCCAGGCATTCCACATCTAAAGAACATTGGTTACATGAGAAGCATGTGACTTCCTGTGAGTAACATAAACAAACATTTAACTCCAGATATACTGAGTGTTTTCAACTTGTAATACCCAACAAAGTGTCTTTAGGACTGCAGCATCCATCTTTGTGATTGTGTCCTGGTTACCAAAGTAACATTTCAATTAATTCTGTATGCAGTTTTTTGTTTCTTCTGGGTCATATAACTCATCTTACTTCACATGAGTTCATTACTGGTTTGTATATTCAAACTGCATATGTATTAAACTGAACAATTTTCTATTTAATCTTTAGGTGTTAGCCTTAGGAGATGTTCCTGATGGGACTTTGGTCACAGTAATGGCTGGAAACGATGAAAACTATTCTGCAGAACTCAGAAATGCTACCGCTGCAATGAAAAACCAAGTGGCCCGATTCAATGACTTGAGATTTGTGGGTAGAAGTGGAAGAGGTATGTTTGTTAATGTAGCCTAATTTTTTTTCCAGAAAGTTGTCCTAACAGAATCCTTAGTTACAATTCTCAGACCATTATCTTTTGCAATAGTCCCTTTTGATTTCAGAATTATATCTGAATGATGAGTTTGAGATTTTAGCATTTACAAAACTTGAGTTCATATTGATATTATCACAGTAGATTACTGCACGTTATAACTCATTATCCCAATGTTTGATAATCCATATATGCAGTGGACATTAGTGAGTCAGATTAAGTACTACCATGAAATAGTGTGGATTTTTAAAAATATCATCAGAGCTTCGATGCTATTATTTGTACCTGACCATTACATGAACTGTGCTATGTACAGAGAGCTACTTGTGATATCTGATATTCTCATTCATTCCAGCAGTGAGGGCAACAAAGTAAGTGGGGGTGCTGTTATACATCTGTTATACTGAGAGAGACTGTTTGCCATCAACGACCACTTAAAATCTGTCTAAGAAATTCAGTAGTGTATGACACATTTTTATTTTGTAGGACATAATTTTACTGTATTGCTCCCCATAATACAAAGTAATTTTGCATATACATACGCTTCTTATTTATGTCCATTTAACTTACTTTGGTACACTCTACAAATAGTACTTGTCTGTAGAGAGAGAGAGTTTCAAAATTAACCTGATTATAAAGATTTACTTTTTCAAGTAAAATTGTCTTCATTATAGTTTGAAAAGTATTTCATGTTTGTTATTCGTGACTCTCTCACTGTGGAGAGGGGTGCTAATGAATGAAATTATGAACATTTTAAGGCCTCCAACAAAAGCATAAAGGCTGCTTATTAAAACAGCAAACAAAACTGTTGTATGTTGCTAATACCATGTCAGCATTCACGAGCACCTATAGGGAGAACTTTATTAGGTTGCCCTTAATAGATGCATTGTTTAAGAATTTTGAGTTTTTACAAAAATTACAAGTATATTTGTTTTTGCTATTGTAACTTCAGCTGGGCTGCAGAGAATAACAAACTGGCATGCTCATATTAGATATGTTTACTTGGGAATAATAGCCATTGATTCCAGTGAATAATTTTTCCAAATGTATCTTAGTACTGTGATCACGTTTTATATTTTGTGGCTTGTACTCAACAAGAACCATGAAAATAGCTTGAAGATGAGTACTTTCCCACCCACCCCTTCTGCCGTAGCATTTTATGTCCTGCAAATTCCAGGGTTCAGGGGATTCCCCAGAAACAATACTGGGCAATGTGATGGTGTGCAAGGAGATGGGGAATTGGCAGAAGTTTCCCCTTTTCCTCAGATGGTGGAAGCATCCTTCCAATGGCAGAAAATATCTGTTAATGGAGCTACAAGTTAGATTACCCTATTTGATAAAAGATGGAGGATCTTTAATACCTGTGACAAAGGCAGAATTTGAACAACTGCTCCATCATTTATTCTGCAGTAATGGAAGGTCCTGTACCTGCTAAAATTCTCATGCTACTGGTAAAGTTGTTTCAGCTCTCTTTCAAATTTCTGCTTATCTCAAGATTTTTGCAATCCAAACTCTATTGCATTGTTTTATTGGATGCACATTATGGATTTCACTAGATTTCCCACCAACACAGTTTTGCTGTGGAATAGGGAGGTAATGCAATTCTTACCCTTTTCAAACTATTACTGGTAAAACCTGCCTTCCTACTTTGTACTTCTGGCACCACTGGCCCTAAACTTAATATTTGACGCATGCTGTATCTAAACCCATTACATTTGTTCTTCTACAGAATTAATCTCAGCTGTACCCATTAGTGCATCAAAAGGTGTCTGACATAACGAGATGGATCACATATATCACCAAATCATGGAGTGTCATTATTTGAATGAATTTGGTGGGGCCACTCTTTAAGCTTATGCAGTCCCTTGGTGGAAAGTTCCATCATGTCACAGCTGACTTATGGTGACCCTGTAGGATTTTCAAGAGAGGAGATGTTCAGTGGTGGTTTACTATTGCCTGCCTCTGCGTAGCAGCCCTGGACTTCCTAGGTAGTCTCCCATCCAAATACTAACCAGGGACAACCGTACTTAGTTTATGAGATTTTATAAGATTAGGCTAGGCCAGGCCACTCCCTTACTCTGTCTCCTCTCATTTTGCATGACTCTGATGCACTTATGCACTCTTGTGGCAATCCATAAATTATCATTACATTAAAATAATAAATTATGGTTTGTTCTCTTCTCTCCATTCTTGCACTCCAAATTCTTGTTTGATCCTGATTCGATATCCTGTCATGGAAGAAAGAGTGCAAACCCTAGTTTGTGCTTTGGATGCCTTAGTCACTTCTTTGCAGTATAGTTTGTTGTTATGTACTCAAGTTAATGTGTTGATAATTGTGAATATGGACAGTAACAGTTCACATGACTGTCGTAGCTGGGGGAAATGTTGCTGCTAGCAATATCACTGACTGCATACTGTGCATGTTCAGGGCCTGTCCACATGCTCCCTTGGCTTGCTATTCCTTCAGTATAGTAGAGAAGCAGATTCACCCCCTACTCTACCACTCATGTATGCCGTAACATAACATTCTGGAGATCCTTTACTTGCATTATGGTCTATGCTAGCTTTGATTTAGTAAAACTTTAAAGGAGAAGTGTCTTATAAATTGTATTTGTAGTTATTTGTGGGTCCCCCAAATTTCAAATTATTTTACATGTGTGGTGGTGGTCATCCACACCTATCTCTACAATTGGGGCATATGCTGTCATGGCCGAGTATATGAATTGGTCCCACGTCCACATGAGCCCTTCCTTTAGGAAGGCTGAGACTGCAGACATGGAGAATGTGCTGTGTACTGACGGACTCCCAGCTATAAATATCATTCTGGAAGATTACATAGCTGTCTGACTCTTGCTCCTTACTAATGTAGTGATTTTATCAGAATTGGGATTGGTGCTTTGATTTGTGCATAGCAGGCTTTATTTGATTTTTCAAGGAAGCTCACTTTGGTAGACAGTTTTTTTCTAACATGCTTTTGCTACTTTTTTAGCCTGATACCCTGAACTTGATGGCTTTTAAACCTGGCTGAGTTGCTTCTGTACAGAAGATAATTGCTGAGAGAAAAATACCTGCAGTTGGAATTGTAGCTTGGTGATGCTAACGAATGATAATAATAGGGTAAAGGAGAGAAAATTATATCCATTTACCGAAAACATGAGTGATGCTGTAATGTATAAAAGAATCAGTCATTAAACATGTTCACTTGTTATATGGAAGGCTGCACCTTTTCAGTAAATGGAATTCTCATTATGATTCAGAGTGTTTAGAAAACATTTTGAAGATTTAAACGTAGAGCTGGCAAAGTGCTTGAGAAGCTAATAAAAGCAGGCCTGCACTTTGGTAGCTGGCACTGCAAGTAAAGCCAGAAGTCAGAGTCTGCTGCACAGTTCTTAAGGTGAGAACTGGAAGAACAGAAGCTCCTGAGAAGAAAATCAGTAATTTATTTTGTGAATTCCATATAGCACTGATATTTTCTGTACCAAAGTAGACATACAAATAAAGACTGGATGTACTTTTCAATATAAGTTTAATGATTGAAATGATCTTGGGGACATTATATGCTAACTGCTGAAGTCTGAAGGTTTGATCTCCATGGGCAATACTGATTTTGAGGGAATGACTAATATATGCTTTTGTTTATTCATACAAACCTGAACTGTTTCCTAAAGGTGTGGGCTGTTTGCATTAGAGTGCATGGTTTCTGGTATTCTTTTATTGCATTGGCTTAAAGCGTGAGGACTAAGGTGGCTGCGTCAAAGGTCATGAAATGAGTACAGGAAAAATAACTTCTGTTAGTTTTGTGTAATATTTCAGTGCATAGGAAGCTACTTGCTTCTCAGAAGCAGTATTATGAATAAGCAATATGCAAAAGGTGATACAAAGGACAATTGATAGTTTGGCCTGTGCATACAGTTTGCAATTGAAATTACCTCAAGTAACTTCTGTGGAACCAGGGCAGTGCCAGGTATTCTTTATTTCTGATTGTCAGGTAAAACTTGTGATTTCAGCAGAGTGGAAGTTTTTCCTCAAAAATATCTGGACTATAAATATTGAGTTTGTTTTCCAGTCCTGTTCATCAAAATTGTTGTTCTTTGTGGATTAGTCTCATGAATGATCATACCCAATCAGGGATCATATAAATGAAGGTGGTGATGTCATCAGATCTGGCTATACAATGATGTCACTGAGGGCATATGAAGGCAATTTAAAATAATAAACATATTGCCAAGGAGGGCCAAAAATTATTATTGCAGAAACTGTTCAGTGGAAAAGGTGAGTGATTTTGGCTTTGCCCTGCATGGAGTTGTCTAAAACAGATTTAAGCAGTGACAAGTCACATCCACCTCTCACAGAAGTATTATTTGCCTAGCTCTATGTATAAGTCAGTAAAGGGGTTTTTTTGCAGTTGGGATTTTACTGTTAGGTATAACAGAATCCCCATTATTTCAACCATTCAACCAGCACCATATGCCTGGATAACCCTGTTGTGCTTCCTTTGCCCAGTTATTGGCTTGTATTAGGCTGCCATCCTGCACACTCTGAAGTGTACTCAGCCCTTCTGAAGTTAATGACTCTTGGCATGTTGGATGCAGGTTTATAGTTTTTGTGTTTTGTTTTGTACTTTTCCCTTCTTCTCCAAGTTTAGAAACATTTGATGTTCAGGGCTCTTTTTGTGGAAAAAGCCTAGCAGGAACTCATTAGCATAATAGGCCACACACAACAGCAGGAACTCATTAGCATATTGGGCCACACCCCTGACAGCACAGCTCATTAACACATTAGGCTGCACTCACATGTTACCAGAAGTGTGGTTATGCAGCCACACCCACCTTTTGCCTGTTATTCTGTTTACCTTGTTTGTTGTCAAAACCCAGGGCCTTTTTTTGTAGCAGGAACTCCTTTGCATGTTAGGCCACACACCCCTTGTTAAGTATGCCACTTAACTCGGAGGAACAGTTCAA